TAGCGCTATTTCCCGATTCAGTTTAGCTGCATCGCTAGCCTGAATTATATCGCTAGCTTCGTTAGCTATATAATGCAATGCAGGGCTTAAATAGCCGAATTAATCCGTGATATTAGGTAGTCGCTCGGATAATTGATTTTCCGCTTCCGGCTCCTCGGATAATAGTTGATCCGGCCGAATAGGTAGTTTTTCTATAGATATTTGACCGGATAAAGGTTCTTCCGATCGACTAGGGTGTTGGATAGGCTCTTTGAGGTGTGTAAAATCCTTATATTTATCCTTATCTTCGATATAAGCTGGCAGATGGATTTCTATCCGGCTTTTAATAGGTTTAGAGCCCCCTATAGAGTAGATAGATAACTCATTAAAAGTTACATCCCTAACCCTTCTAACTTTATTGCTAGAAGGTACTTAAATTCGGTATATATTTATTAAATTATAGCCCACTAAATAGCCTATTTCGGCATAGAGTTCTGTTTTTAGGGCTTGTTTTTAATGACTTTGCATAGCTTGCTTAGTAAGCGGATAAGCCTTGCAGCTATAGGCCTTTAAATGCTCTATATTAAGTTTTAGATAGTTAGTATAGCTAGTATCTAGCTTATTTTCAGCTAGATAAGCGTGTAATCTTTCGAAAGGTATAGCTTAGATAATACCCCCTAACCGCTCTGCAGAGCTATTTTAAGTAGGGGTATAAGGGGCTGTAGGCTTATCTATAATGCCGGTTTTAGCTAACTAAGCACTATAATCTAGTTAAAGGCCTAGATTGTTATCTCTATAAATAATACAGATATTCTGCTGAAATTGTGTCTTTATAAGGGCTTTTAGAGCTTTTAGGGCCTTTAATATAGCCTCTTGCGTTGTTAAATATAATATATAAATAAATATAATAGCAGTATAGCTATCTTTAGCTAATAATACTGCATTTTAACTGTTATAGGCCTTTTTAAGCTAAAATATATTAATATAAAGCCTATAGAAAGGCCTAGGACTCTAAATAGAAGGCCTTCTAGATATAATTCTAGTTGCTTTAGCTAGAGAGCATTTTTCGCATTTAATAGTAGAAGGGCCTGTAATTTTAGTCCCTGTAGTTGCCTCTATAAGGTTTTCTAGGGCATCTTTATCCGGATGACCTAGGCGTTAGTGCTAGCGTTTAGCAGAGGCTGTATTTATTAAAGTTATAAGCGTTTTTAAGTTATAAAAGCTAGCTGTAATAGCATTTTTAGAAGGTTTATTATATTTAATAACTAATTAACAATATATCCAGCTTGTAGTAAAAATATAGGCTCTATTTTTAGTGACCTTTCTAGTAGCTAGGTTCTAATTATAGCCTGCCTCTAATAGAAGGTCTAGGCTTGTTATATTTATGTGAAAATTCAGTATATAGGCTGTATTTTGCAATATAAATAGCCTGTCTAAGGTTTTTAGCTGAATTTT